AAACATTCACAAGTGGAAAACATTCAGGAAGGTTCCCAGTCTTACTAGTGCATGTCCTAGCACATTCACCCTAAGGTCAGAGACACTGCAAGAACAGATCCATATTTCAGACTTACAGGCCTCAGAAGGTTCATCACAAGACCTCTGAAACATTGTCCTTTGGACAGGGGATACCAAATTGCAGGTTTTTGGCAAAACTAAATACCTTACCTCCCATCAAAATAACTAGTGACTTTCTCATTGCCGCTGACTCTGACCACATCAGCATCCTCATCTTCCTGGACCTTTCTTCAGCCTTCGACACCATTTATCACATCATCCTTCTCTCACCTCTAACCAGATAGCTTCTCAAACTTGCCCTCACTGGTACTGTACTTTCCTGGTTTCAGTCCTACCTCTTCAACAAAACACAGTTTGTCACCAATGGAGGCTCCAGTTCCACCTCTGCTCCATTTAACCAAGGTGAGCCTCAAGGTACTGTGCTTGGATCCTTTCACTTCTTCATCTTAATGCCCCACTTGGCCAGATCATCCGCCACCATGGTTTCTGGTTCCATTCCTATGTTGATGACATACAACTTTATCTCAGTACCAAACCCTCCACCCAGCTCTACCCACAATCACTTGCCAGCTGTCTGCATGAAATAAAAAATGGATGTCATCTAACCAACTCAACCCAACAAACTGAATTCTTGGTTGTTGTCCCCAAAGCCCTACTCTGGGAGGTTGGCAATCTACATAGATGGTTGCTCATCTCACCATTCCCAGACATTTCTAATCTGGATATTGTTTTGTACTCCCACTTTAATTCCAGGCTCATATCAAGTCTGTAACCAAAGCAGGGCTTTTTTCACCTAATGAACCTAATGTCTCAGATTTAGCCATTATTAGCTGACTCTGTAGCAGAGACTCTAGAACTCACCCACCAGGCTTCCAAGAGACTAAGCTCTGGGAACACCCCCACCCTCATAAATCTCCACTGGCTTCCAGTAAAATCACACATTATTTACAAAATCCTTCTTCCTGCTTACAAATCCCTCGCTCACCTGTCTGGCCTGCTGCACCCATACATGCAGTCCTCTGTCATGGGACTGCTTTCTGTCCCTTGTACCAGTCTCCAAACCTTTGGGGACAGAACCTTCAGTGTGGCAGCCCCCCACCCTCTGGAACTCTCTCCCATCTGAGCTTTGCAAGGCCCCGTAACTGGAGTCTCCTAAGAAACTTCTTAAACTCACCTCTTCAACAAAGCCTTTTACTTCTAGCTTGTTTGTGTATTTAGTCTTAAACGTCCTTAGGTTTCTTCAAATGCACAATACAAATAGGGGAGTCACCTGGTCATCTTGGAGTCATGGAATCGACCATGAACTCCTTTTTTATACTATCTGTCCAACGGCTAGTCATGGCCAAAACAGAGTCATGCGTTAGGGTTGCTGTGCATAATTGTATGCAAATCTCAATGCACTGAAACAACGCTGCATAGAAGTGTGGGTCCAAATTTCTTCACAGCAGTGTAAGAGACTGATAACATCAGACAGAAACAATTCAAGAAATGGCTACTAAAGGTGTTTG